CAGCGTTATGTCTGGTCCCTAAACTGTGACATGCAATTAGCTTTCATCTAAAGCACCTGACAGTCTCTGGATTAGAGCACTCAGAGGCACATCGACAGAGACCCCCACTTCACGGATTAGAACCCAACCTGTAATCCAGCCCGGGGAGATTAGGCAGATCAGAGGCAGTCCTGACTAAAGCAACGTTTACATCCGGAACACCCCGTTTGACTGCACCAACACTCGGAGGACCAAGATTTACTTCTGCTCGGCTGAGAAAACACTCGAACGAGGCACAAAGGGAGTGTGTGTTGGAGGCGTGAATGTGCCTGAAAGAGATACCTCAGAGAGGAAAAACGCGAGAAACTGGGGAAGACAACAACAAACCAGGCAGAATAAAGGTCAACAGTCACACTTTGATAACTCTGGGCTTAACACATATTGGTTTGTCAATATTGTGCTTTAATGAATATCAGACAAGGATAAACAAAACTCCCCCCATCGTTAAAAGTGGCATTAGCTTTGCACTCAGTTGCCCTTAGTTGCACTGTGTTAAAGTGCATTATGAGCAGATTAATCAAACAGCAATTTATGCCTTTTAACATCTTAAATTAGGCAAATAAATGTCTAGAAGAGGGTTTTGCTTTGTGTGTAATCTCTTGAAAAAAACACAGACTTGTGCTTTGGAGGCCTGTACTCGTTAGTTCCTCCATCGTGATTTTATTTTTAATAGAGACTCATAACTTAAAGAAATATACACAGTATGTGAAGTCCTTTGTGAATTTATTTGAGAAGTAACATTTGACAAAGAAGTAGGATTGAGCAATATTGGCAAAAAAATTAATCACGATTAATTGTGATATTTAGCCGACGATTAATTTGACGATTATTTCCCTGGACACCCTTATTTCCTAGTCACATGACTAATTTAGTGTCATAATTACAGACTTCAGGCCGTACATCATATTTTAAATTGTGTTGATATATAAATAAATTACAGAACATTTTTTTAATGTTCATCATATTTGAAGCAAAGAGGAGCACTGAGCGGWCTGACCAGAGAAATCTCCAGTCAGTCCACCTGGTGGCATTAATCATATTAATCGTCAAGTGCCAAAAAATAATCGATTAATGTTTTTCTGATGATTAATTGCGCATGATACGATTATGCCCAACCCTACAAAGAAGACAACAATTGGTGTTAATAAAGCAGTGTATAAAAATCTGAAGCTATTTGGACAATTGGTTGACTACTTTAAAGCCATCAAAAAAGCTACATAAACTGCTCTTCTGTAAGGAAATAAATGGAGCACCTACTCTTGAATTTGACAAAATCATCATTGGTGTTTTCTGGACTAATCATCAGAAAGAAGACTGTCCAGTCATCTTGAAAGGAAATCTGGCTGATTTGTCCAAAACTACGTAGACAAACCCAACAAATTATTAAAAATAATTTGACAACATCATCTAGAACACCTGATACAGTTCATAGTCTTCAAATAGTTCATGCAAAATGCCAAAATCAAAGATGAATATTTAAAAGAAGTAAAAGTGCTGTCATGTTTAACTAACCAAAAAAAAATCTTCTCATAGAAACATTTTGATACTTTTAGGATCATTTTGCCACCACTGACTTCTATTCATTTTATTGTGTTTTACTGTTTAGTATCTTTCTTTGTGTCATCGTCCCAATACAACACATTTATCTCAATCAGTTTGTCCACAAACCATAAAAAAAACCAAACACGTCAGAGAGCCACACTTTCACACCACTAACACGTCTCTTCATTACAGAGAACATACACTCATAGAAACAGTTTATTTATACCACATCCTTCTGCTGGGGATTCTCACTAAACGTGTTAATTCTTTATGATGTGCAGAAGAAAAATACAGAAGATCTTCAGCTGGAATATGTAACAAAAYCTGTTTAAATCTTTTGGCTTGACTCAGTTTTAGTTATTACCTGGATTTTAGGAGAAATTGTGTCAAAACCAGGAAAGATTGCAAATTCTACAGCTATGTCTTTGTCCACCKTTTATATCGATTTAGTGAATCTGTTAACAGGGATGTAGTTTTGGACTTTAGGAATAGCCTGAGAAAATYCACACATGCACGGTAGGAACATGCAAACTCCATGCATTAAGGCCCCAACAGCGCAGACCCACAACTAAAACTTAAATATTTGCGATCACAAAGTAAAGTGTTTAATAGAAATATTAAAAAAACAGTGACTGCTTTAAAGGTGCACTTGATCAACTTTTTTAATTTCCAGACTATTTTGGGACCTTTTATTGCTACTCCTGTATTTTCTGTATTAATTTGTGCTGAATTATTTACCACTCCTTCCAAAACGTAATTACTTTTCTATATAAAAGCACATAATCATCAACATAAAGTTTTAATAAACTTGTTCAAGTGTAGAGTTCCTTCTTTATTAAACCGGCTTGCAGTTTAAAAATATTCAAACACCTCACCCAGTGATTTTTAGTGGCTTTTATTCTTTGTGTTTGGCAACTTCTCCACCTGCAGGTGGTTATGCACCCCTCCTCAAAACCTCATTTACCTGCCGGTTAATATTATTTCTATAGATTYGGCTTACGAGACAGAATTCCTCAACAAGATAAGGGCAAACAGCATCGCCGTGCAGGAGTCCTTTAGGAAACGACTCTTAGATTGCCAGATGCAGCGTACAGGCGTGCTTGTTGGACAAACCTAAATGCTATCTGCTCTTGGCGGGGGCTGTGATAAGGCGCAGGCGTCCGCTCTTTGAAACAGGAAGATAAACAACCCCCGGCTTCCCTCGGGAGCTCGGAGGATATTCTATGGGCCGGACCCCCGAACAGCCAACAAATTCCACCTTTAATAGAAGCGCTGGAGGAGCCAGATGACACTGCAGTTGGCTCCTACACAAAACCCTGCGTGGAAGAATGAAAGTGTGTGTCACTTTTCATTTTCCTGAATGTTGTGGCTGCTGTGTGGGGGRAGATTTGTGGCTGCGACAGGTTAGGTTTAACAGAATGGAGAGCGACTGGGGCTGATAGAGGAATYGGGGAGGAGGCACTTTTCAGTCCAGATTGGATGGTGTGTGCCGAGAAAATTAACAGATTTGCTGTCCGTACTGCTAAAGAAATTGGAAAAGAGAAGCACTAATTAGCTCGTTTTGTTAATTGAAGATATAAAAAGTGGTGATGATGTTTGGAGAGGCTGAGTTTGGTTGTTGGGACTTTTTCTCCAACTCAAATCTTATTAAAACATGACTTTTTGATGTTTTTAATCACATCTTAGTACTCCCACTCATCTGAGTTTATGAAATAATATATTACTTTATGTTCTAAGATAGTTAGTGTYGAGTATCTTCCTTTTCTTTCCCAGCTGGGCTCTTGAGATACGATCATCATCGCACTCATTTGCATTGAACTTAACTTGCCCGGCGAGGTCTCCCGTCATCAGGCCAGATCAGACGGGGGGGCGTTTGACACTCACCGAGAGTTTAGGTCTATATTCTCCGAGTGATATCAAAGTGTTACCTGAGGGGGGGTCAGAGATAATGACAAATCACAAAGTGTGTCAAGACATCACAGGCAACTGTGGATGAAACCGAGTCATATCGCTGCCGCGGTGCTTTAAGAGGCCAGGGCACGATTACCACCATGACTTCTGAGGAGGATAAATACTCTGCCAGGACAGACTGCAGGATATTAGAGGAGGGGGGGCAGTTTAAAGAAGGAGGAGGAGGAGGAGGATGTGGGGGAGAAAAAGAAGAAGAAGAAAAAAAAAACCTAGCCACCAGTTTTTCAACTTACCCAGAGGAAAAATGCATAATCATATTATTTCACACACGACTTGGTTCAAAGGCGGCCAAAATAAGTTTGCGAGGTTCCCATGGGTCTGTCAATCTGTTGAAGGAGCTGCAGGCGAAAGCTTAGGATGCACCAAGTACGAAACAATTATGATCATCCCATTAAAGCATAGCGAAGCAATTTGGCAACCCAGTCTGAGGGAAAGGAAAATACTCCTGTCAAGGAATGCTGTGTRAGATCGACTTCCATGATGCCATTGTGCGGCACATCTAACCCTCCTAATGACTGTTTGTCTTCAGTGACAAAAGGGAGAACACACGATACTGAATGCTGTTGTTCTTGGAGTCGAAGAATTGTTTTCCTTTAAATCAAGACGGGCTCCATAAAGTAAGGAGAAGRAAAAGAAGAAGAAGTAAGCGGGGGTGAAATGATTAGTGCGGTTAGTCAGCTGTGAAATTGAGTTTATGGTTTTCAAGACGGTGAATTCAATTCGATAATGGGTATTAAGTTGTAGAGAATAATTAATAGTAATTGACTTCTTTCCATCACTATGCAAATTAAACACAGATAACACCACAGGAGCTTTTTAAGGCCAGTCAAGTTTGTGCGGATTAAGTTTAGGGATTTTTATTTATTTATTTTCTCCTCTCAGAGAGGGGAGTGGCTCCTGCTCTGCTTTGATTGCTTTGTTGACAGATTTATCAGCGGGTGAGGGGTTACTGTCTCTTCAGGGATTAAAGGAATTGGGTTGTCACAAACTGTCAAGGCAGTGAGCTTGCAAGCATTCTGGTGTATTTGTCATAATGGGCTCAGGCTGTTCTCCTCCGTGCTGTCAGATGTACTTTTGCTGAAGCACATCTGTAAATAGGAGGGATGAATAAGGCAGCGCTGGACGGACGGTGTCGAGGACAGCGGGTTACTCAAAATGCACATTAGGGATTTGGAAATCCTGGATTTAAACGGACGTGATCTAAATTCACAGAGATAAGCAGAAGTGATAGAAATCTGGATGACTGGTGTTAAAAATGACTTTCACTTTATGATAAAATGTTAAACTGCGCAACACACATTTTTCCCACCATCATCTCGAAATGACAGATTCTTTATCTGTTTTTATTAATTCCCAGCTTTTAAGAGTGTAACAATTATTCACGGGTATGTTGAGGTATAAAATGCAAATAGGAAAAAAAGCTCACATCAAAATGACATTTAACTCACTAGAGAGATGAGTGACAGCAGCGCAGCGGCGGCCCACAGACATGTGGTCTTCACGCCTCGTTGTGGAGCGTCTCCCCTCATGTCAGCTGTCCCCGAGCTTCTCGCTTCAGCCAAAAACAAAACAAACGTAAGGGTCTTCTCCTCACTAACTGAGCCGTTATCAGCTGCCCAACTTGAGGGGAAACACTGAGTGAGGGCGGCGGTCCGGACGGGAGATGGTTCTCCTCAGGCTCATCCAGGAAGGGTCAGGTGTCTGAAGGTAGGACCGGCGGAGACGTTCGCACATCTGTTTGTCAGCGTGGACGGATGTTTTATAACGGGAGGGAGAGAGTCGGGGAGGACACGGGGAGAAATGGAGTGGAAAAAGGAGGAGGGGGAGCAGTGGGGGACGTTCACATTATTGATTTTTGAGAAGCAACTTTACTTTTTACGTCATCGAGTGCTGACATCTGCTGGCGCTGGTCTGCTACAGCTTCTTGTTAGTAAAGTACTTTTRTTCAGTTAAGTATTTACTGTTTTTAATTTGGTCTTCCTTATTTTTGTGACCTGTTTTTGTTGTTKTAAGCAGSGGTCTATAAWGTACTTGAAAWAATAACTAAAAGTAAAATTAYATGAACAGAAAATGACTTTGGTAAAAATAAATTTCACTGATGAGAAAACTACTCAAGTAAAAGTCATAAAACTGTTCACAAAAATTGGGAAAGTAAAAGTACTTTTACACACGCTCTAAGAAATAAATTGTTGAATTTACYGAAACAAACTGGTTCCACTAAGCCAGGTTGAGTTAATGTATATTTTTTAATCGATTTACTCAGCTAATCTTAGTGGAACCAGTTGACTCGACTTTGTTGAGTAAATTCAACACTTCATTTTTTAGAGCAGAAACATCATCTTTCATGATGAGTTCAGACAGATTTAATTTTGTAACAAGTAACTAGGTGTTAGATTTTTAAGTAAAGAAGTAAAAGTTTAATTTTTAGCTTTAAAATGTAATGAAATAAAAGTAAAAAGTAGCTATTTAAAGAAATAGTTGGCAAAATTACAAATCCTCAAAAAAAAACTACTTAAGTACTGTAACAAAGTAAATGTACTTAGTTACTATAAACCTCTGGTTTTTAGTTATTTTGCTCTCTGTTAATCACTTTGTGATGTTCATGTCTGTGAAAGGTGATATATAAATAAAGTTTACTTAAAGTAAATGTCAGCAAATCCAGAGAGACTGAAAACCAATCAACTCTTCTTTGTTCACCGTGACTCCGTCAAGTAGAGAAACTGCTGYGATATCTTCAGAAATATAGCTCTAAAAACACAATTAGCCAATAATATTTAAGTTTTSATGTAACTAAAATCCCTAAATGTAAATTATTAGTAAACATATTCTTATGTTCATTAGCCACATGCTAACATTCAACATGCTAATTGACTTTAGCCTAAAAAAATTATATCTCACTGAAATGTGCAGATATTACTGTAAGATAAAAATTGACATGACATGGTAGTAGCTGCGAATCAGAGGTGTATAGTAACAAAGTACATTGTTGTAGTACTTGAGTTATTTATTTAACCTTTATGTATCCAGRTAAACTGTTTGAGAATCACTTCTCATTTACAAACATGACCTGGCCAAGAGGCTGCATGTCATTTTTTGAGGATCTGTAATTTTACAAAGTAATTTTTTTAATTTGTATTTTTTCCCTTTATTTATTTCAGGAATGCACCGATATGAAAATTTCAGCCCATATTGATATCCAATATTATTGCTGTTATGGCCAGTAACCAATATTTACCAATATCACACAAACACTCAAATTAAGTAAGTAAGAAGTAAGTAAGTAAGGAAGGAAGGAAGGAAGGAAGGAAGGAAGGAAGGAAGGAAGTTTTTATTTATACAGCACCTTTCATAGAAATAGATTCACAAAGTGCTGTACAATCAGAGGCAAATCAAAATATATACAATCAGAACAGGATATATAAAAATTTGGAACAAAAATGTATAAAAGCTGTACAACCATCGAAGTATCAAGACTGTACAATCCGAAAAATAAAACAAGTAAATAATATCTAGACAAAAATGGGGAGGGCAGAGTAAAACAATAACATATTAAGATGAAGGATTTTTAAATCAGAAATTAATTTGGAGGCAGGTCTCCGAATGGGTAGATTGTGGAGTACAGGTACATTTTAGAAAAATACATTTTTAATAAATTGAAATGATTTTGGATGAAAGTACTGTCTGTTTATCATATATTAATATGATGAATTGTATGGTCAGTAGGTAGGGTTTAGTGAAACAGACACTAAAAGGTCAGGCTGCAGAGAAATGCTGAAATTAGTTAGTTAAAAGCTTGTTTAAAGAGGTGTGTTTTCAGATATTTCTTGGATGTATCATTGCTTTCAAGCATGCGCAGATGGATAGGAAGTTCATTCCAGGGCCTGGGGGCCATGGAGGAGAAGACTCGGTCACCTCGGGTCTTGAGACGTGTGTGGGGAACCATTAGGAGATGCTGATCCTATGAGCGTAGGCTGTGTTTGGGGTTGTAAGGGAAGATGAGACTTTTAATGTAGTCAGGTGACTGGCCATTGAGAGCTCTGAATGTGAGGACCAGGATTTTGAACTTGATTTGAAAATTATTTGTATACATATATGCACAAACACACTTGTGTCTTTTTTTAATATTTTAACAAAATGACCAGACCACTGACATGCTCTCTACTTCAGTTATTCCTGGCTGATCAGTGTCACTAAGTCAGATACCACTCGACCAAACATCTCCCCTCCCAAAACACAAACACAAAGCTTAAAGGTGGGAAATCAATATCGGACCTTAATATCTGCTAGGGGTGTAAGAAAATATTGATACACTGAAATATCGCAATATTTCAG